AGTATGCAGTGGTCCTTGGCGAGAGTGATTGGTGCTTCAGGCGTTTATGAACATAAAGGCAAATGGTTTAGTATTTCAAAGATTAAGTCAAAGATGTTCACAGACTGATTAAAAATCTTACTATATTTAACATTAATATAGACATATGCATATATATTTTATATCAATAATCCATTTCTAATTCCAAAAATATAAACTATAACTATTTATAACTATAATGCTCATGTCAAACTCATATACGTAATTCAGTGATGTACAAATGACACGTTTGCTTCATTAGAAGTGGGTTATACAAACAAAGATAAAAATAACATTTATAACATTTAATTTTGTACTCGTGTAGATTATATTTTAGTTTATTTACGTATATATTTCTACAGTTTGTCTTAAAACAAGAAGTAAAATTTGGTAATAATTTTAAAATAAGCAGAATACAATATTTCCGATTAAACTTATGCTAACTTTGATTAATAACTCTGGAGGAACTTTTTCAATCGAGATTCACTCTTAGCGCAATTTTCATTTTCGATTCGTAAATCGCAGGCAAAATATATAACACTCGAGATTAATTTATAACACTCTAGATATTTTCCCAGAGTGAATTAAAATTTTTCTAAAATTAACAGCTGTTTTATATGACTTTACAAATAAAATGTGATTTGTTTGAATATGTTTATAAAAAATATAAATGTTTATACTAAATATAAATTAAATTAAATTTAAATATATAAATATTTATATATATAATATATAAATGTTTACTCTAAAAATATTAGAATAAGCAACAAAATTTGACATATCGAGAGTAAATCTAGATTAAATCCAGTTTTACCAATCGATAACGCCATTTCAATCGAACTCCTTCATAACGAAGTCGTTCACACTGACGTAATATTTCATTAAGAAAAATCGAAAAAAAATTATTCTTTAGTTGTCGTTGCATTTTACATAAAATTACCTCTATATTTTGAATAAAATTTTGTTTTAAGTTCAATTATAAAAACGTAACTAATTTTTGAATTAAAAGCTTATTTCTTCTTTCCTTGATCAAACGTGAGTTAGTGTCTAAAGCATTTTTACTCAATATGTTAGTGCCTATGACCATTTAGATGATCCACTGTAATAAGAGTTGCGTTCAATTCTAATAATAATTTATTCAGATAATTTTATAGAAGTGTACTTTAAAGCCTAGCATAACTTCCAGACGGAATATACATTTTTACATTTGATTTGAGAGGAACAATAAAGAATTACAATAAAAAAATTGTCAAATTAAATTGGTTCATTAATTCTTTACTGCTTAAAAGTTTTATATTTTATTTCTTTTTATTCTTATTAACCTAAGCAATTTTAAGAAATAAGCTGGAAGACTACTTATACTCGGATTAATTTTACCGAAGTCAATCAAACAATCAAAAACAATTATTCCGATACAGACAATAAATGACACGTTTCATATAAATTAAATCACATTATATATAAAAAAATTATTTAATTTAAAAAACTCTATTTACTTGCTTTAAAAAACTTTATTATATAGAACTTCCTTCAAGGAGTTTAGATATAGAAAAGTCCAAATGTATTTTAAAATCTGAAAAAAATCCACTGCCTCCAAAAAAACTGCATTCTTTGCATTAGATCTACAAATATTAATCTGTCTTATCAAATAATCTCCCTTAGATTAGTTGTAAAACCGGGATATTCCGGGATAAAACCGGGAATAAGTAATTGATGAAATTTGTTATCTTATCAAGCAGGTACAGAGCAGTCTTCATTATTGGGTGTGCTTTATAGAGATTAGTTTTACTTTTCTCTATATAGTATTTATATTATAGTATGAATTACTTTATAAATTTAATTATTTTAGAATTTTAATCTATCCAGCATAGCACTTACATGGGTTCTTTAAAATCATATAACAAGATTAAGCTATTATCGACTAAACTTAGACACTTTTCATATATCTATTACCAAAGATACATATTTCGCTCTTTGCATGTCTAATGTGTATATATGTGTATATACTCGTGTGTGCGTCGCACAATAATACAAATATATTTTTCAAACTTAATAGTTATATGAATAATACGATAGTTATATGATTCATACAAATAGACATTTTTTAATAAACGCTATTTTATTATTATCAATCTTGATAAAGTAAACCATATAGTAAACTGGTGCACTGGGTTCTACTTTACTGTATTTTTTTTTCTTATTTTTTATGTGAAAGAGTAATATCTAGAAATTATAACAACATTTGTGGGTATAGTAGACAGCAGAATATAGTATATTGTAGAATATAGAAACAAATTCTATACTTTTGTCTCAGTTGTCAGCAATTTTTCTTAGTTGCTACTATAACCTGACCGTTATGTGTTATACAACATTGTTTTTCCCACTTAATTTCAAGTAGTTACATCATCTAGAGTCCTGCCATTTTTCTGATGTTGCTATTTTCTTTTCTTTTAGACCGTATACCCAATCTAAAGTCACTTGCTATTTTATATTTCGATTTTAGTCAGTTTAGCAAATAGTACAGTTTCCATACAATTTCCTAAAAATATATCCAGAAGTCATAAAATATATTTTGAATTCTTTTTTGTAAGTATCCTCAAAATATTAAATTCATGAAAATCTGAAATAACTATGTATACTAATCAATCACATCAAATTAATTTTAATGTTAACTCACAAATAAATAAATAATTTAATATTTAACAAACTTACAAAATATATTACCCAGGGCCAACACAGACAACTTTTTGGCAAGATTGTTGGACACTAATGTTTTACACTAACTTAAAGAAATTTTTTAAAGCATATTTAAAATTAACAATAAATATTTAAATAATAATTTCTTAGTAAGATATATGTATTTATATATTTATTAAAAATATTAATAAATTTTTGTTGTTGCAATTTCACTACTTTTCGATAAAAATCTCTCTATTTAAAACTATAGTTTATATTAAGAATTTAATTTCTTTCTTCAAAACGGACGTTCAAAATTAAGCTAATATAAATATGTGTATTCAAATATTTTAAACTTGCCAAAAACTTGTCAGTGTGGAAATTAGATAAAATTCTGTTTATATATAGTATATTACAACAGAACTTGCTGCTGAAGCACCTTTTTTAAGGCCAATGTCTTTTAAAAACCAAGCTGTGTAGATATATTGTGTTGTGGTAAGAGTTACTTAGAAAAACCGATTTTATCAAAATATATCATTGTTACGGCGGCACTTCGGGCGAAATTAATGCGTTCAATATTATAAAAAAATAAAAAAATTTAAATTAATTATTATTTCCAACATTAATCAGAAAATGAATGCATAAATACTTCTGGATCTTGATCTATTTTTAGTAATATATATTTTAATAATAATATATTTTAATATTTATATTATTAACATATTTTATTATTAATATTAATGATATATTTTAATATTAATATAATTAATATATTTTAATATTTAATATTAATAATATTATTTAATATTATATATTACTATATTTTAATATTAATATTATTAATATATTTTAATGTTAATATTAATAATATATTTTAATATTAATATATTTTAATAAATGATATAATTTATATATTTAATATTATTAATATATTTTAATTATAATTTATTAATATATTTTAATATTATATAATAATATATATTTTAATATTAATATATTCTAATATAATTTATTATAATATATTTTAATATTAATATTATTAATATATTTTAATATTAATATTATTAACATATTTTAATATTACTATTATTAATATATTTTAATATTAATATTATTAATATATTTTAATATTAATACTAATAAAATATTTTAATATTATTGATATATTTTAATTTTAATATTATTAATATATTTTAATATTACTATTATTAATATATTTTAATATTAATATATTAATTTTTAATATATTTTAGTTTATATTTACATTTTAGTGCATTATTCATTATTTTTTTTATATTTTAATTTATAATCATAAATCATGGCCCCACCGATTGTCATAAGCGGGCCTTCACTATCATTAATAATTGAATCCAAAAGTTCAGATACGTTTTTTTTATGGAAATATTACATATGATCTATATGAAAACTTCAAAAAAATTCGACTTGAATATTTTTCCATGTAAGTCAATTTTTGACAAACCGTAATATACTTTTATGCCACTTAAAACCATCCATTTATGCTTGAATACCCTTTACTTTTTATATATGATAAATATTAAAATATATACACCTTTTTATCTCTTTTATGTCATAATTTGATTGCTTGCAATTTTTGGGAATTAATTAAATAAATTTCAGGAAGCATATTTTAATTTGCAAACTTTTTTATGAAAGTTCGACAACAAATAAAAGTACTATGAACTGAAATATTTTAATTAAATTTTCAATTAAAATACATAATAAAATGGAATTTCAATATAAAATGAAGCTTGCATATACATTAAAAAGAAGCTCCTGCACAAATGAGTCCTTAGAAACGGGAGCGCTATAGAAACGATACTTGATATGAAAAAAGAAATCGTAATAAAAATAAAAGAAATACCTGTAAAACTTTTATTTCATAGCAACACCCTCTGCCGAAATCAGCAATTGAAATCCCATATTAGCAACAACAACAACAGCAATAATATAATACTCATATATATGTATATATATATATATATATACAGAATACATACAAATTCAAAGCTAACAGTATGCGAGATACATACTCAGCCTGGAACCGAAATCAAATCACAGCAATTTACCTAAAATTGGTTCCATTTTACTAGGCGCGAAAACAAAACCAACCAACCAACCAACAATCGTAATAGAAACAATCACAACAAATTTGAATTATATTTTCTATGAAAATATGGATTGCAATTAAAATTTTTAATTAAAATTTGTTAGAAAATAAAACTCCTAACTCATATTTCAAATTTGATATTTTTAATTATAAATATTATTTTAATTTTTATTTTCAGATGTAACCGGAAACCAAATAAATAAAACAATTGCAACCAGTTGCCTTTTTATGTAAACTAAACTAGTCAAAACTCTATAAAAAATAATCTAAATTATTATATAAATCAAATATTTATATACTTACTAATATATAACTATAAGATCGACATCAACTATTATGACCACACGTTTAGCAACGCAGCGAAATTTTTTATTAAGAACTCCAACGGCAGTTGCAACATCCGCTGGACGCTCTACTATTATATTAGATTCATCGACAGATTCGCCTGAAATTATCTCCGCCGATGACGTGGCAGACCTTGCTACCGAAACAATTTTAACCAGTTCTCATATCAAAAACGAAGAAATTGCCATCGAAACTGCTACATCCGATTCACAAAATGCAGAATTCAGTTATTTGGATGAAGACGCCGTTGTTGCTGCTGCCCATTTGGAAGATGTTATGACACAGGTAAATATAGTTATTATATTTTATGCAATTGCCTTGGGACTATTTCCTACTTCATATATACAATATTATTATTTCAGCAAATTAAAAACACTGGCGATCCAGAGGGGGTTGCTATAATAAGTGTTGTGGTTCCCATGGAGGCAACTGATTCGAATAGCGAAACAAGCGCCAATATTTCCGATTTAAGTGCAATTAAAGATAATGTAAATCTAACCCAAGTAGCGAACGGACAAGTAACCTTAATGCAAGCCCAACCAAGTGAGAGTGATGACGCTACGACGCAGTACATAACAGTAACAGGTGAATTAAAAAAATATCTTTACATAATATAGTTTGATATAGTTAGGTGAATTATCTATATATAATATGTAGTGTACATTATATTATAAAAAAACATGTAATAAAAAAATACAGTTTAATTGTGCTTCAATTTCTAGTGATTAAAGTTTTTCATTTACTCAGTCTTACTAATCATCATTGATATGTTTTAATTAATATAATTTAAGTGGTATTATAATTAGTGCCTAGTACCTATTATTCTAGGTATTCGATACTTTAAGCACTTGGTTCTTCGAATATGTGAGACGCTCGAAAATATTCGAGCACCAAAAAAAAAATATAATATGAATATGATACAAAACAAATTTACTGTTCGACTCTTACGAACATCTTCGAGAAGTCGGTTTTAATTTTTTAAGATTACCTATTATTTCGAGCTTTGATTTTCAGTATATTTCTATAAATATTCGCGGCAAAAGCGAATTTTCTAAAATACGAATAGAAATACTTAACACTCGAAATAAAAATTAATATTCTTAAAAAAACAAAACCGACTTTAAAATTATATCGACGTAATAACTCAAAAATTAAAAACAAAATATTATCTTCGAGAAGTTGAAACATTTTACATTATCGATTCAAACATTCGAATTAATTCACACTCAAACTCCTTGAGCATCGTAATGCTCCTACACTTTATTATTCAATTTCCCTGAGACACAGGTTCTTCAACGGATTTTAGTAGAATCAATTATTTTGAGAATTTTTCAGACTTTAGTAGAATCAATTATTTTAAGAATTTTTTTCTACTACACTATAACTCCATATAGGTTCGATATAGTTTTAAGAAGGTATCAAGGTTCAAAGTTGTTAACTTTTTACATTGATTACACAAACAACTGATAACAACAAATAAACGCTAAATGACGGATCAATTTTGCTGATTTTCATGTAAAAATTTTCAACCTTACAACTCGATATCTCGAAAACTAAAGTACCGAAACATATTATTTAATGGAAGAAATATTGATAGATATAAAGCGTATGAAGTATATTTTTATAGTTCTTATTTTACTTAAGAAGTATTTTAACTTAATTTACAATTGAATTTACAATTAATTTGAACAGATTTTTCTTCTTATTTGACCTAACAATTCTTAAAAGACCTATGACTATTGTATAATAATCTCTCTTTCAGGCAAATTGATTGATATTTTAGTAACACTAATTCTTTGTAACCCATCGTTTACTTAACCTGTCCAACTTCTGTTTTATCTATGTTTTCTCCTCTCCCCTGGTAATAATAGTATTAAAATGTTGATAGTAAGTTTTTATAATTTGATGAGCCTATATTAATGTCTGCTTTATATACATTCAGTAAGAGTATTTCGATTTATCAACTGATATATATGATTGTACCCACATTCATTTTCTCTTACAGCTTCGAAAAACTTCCGTATGATTTTTATTTCAAAAATCTATAGCTTTTTAGTTTCTGTTTCTACACCCATATATTATAAAAAACCTTGTTGCAGTTTTGTAAAGAATATATTTTATTTTACTTGACAGAATTTTGCTTGGAATGTGTCTTCATAGTAGTTGTCGGATAAATACATCGCGCTCAGGTGCATATTCGCTATTAAATTCACCATAAATTTAATCATAAACAATCCAGAGTATCACAACAGGTGATCAAATTTACACTTAAGTCGGAAATAGATGGATGCCACTACAACCTTGCCTCTAACCTAGCCATAAACAAACCAAAAACAAAATTTATTATAAACATTTTCCAATCCAACTTATACTTTTTTGATAAATCGAAAATTCTGAATTAAAATAGTGAATCATCTTTCTTCCATCAGGTTAATCGTACTGTGAGATCCGTAAAGTTCTTTACTTTTTCCTGTGCTTCATTCAATTTATACCGCTGATATTCCAAAAATGAAACCAATTTTGTTATCATTGTGCGGCGATGACACATGCATCCTGTATTCTAATGTAGATACAACAAAAATTTCTAACATCCTGCAGGTACATATTGATGATCTAGTCAATTACTTTCAGAAAGGGAAGTTTAAACTTAATATTTACTCAGAAGTAATTTTCAGCACTCAGAATCTAATTGTATCAATAATACCAGAGTTGAGAGGACTGATACCATAAAATCTGTTAACATCAGGTTTTAGTAAAGTTAGATGAAGTTAGATGAGCAACATCTGAAGTATGTATCGATTAAGCTTAATTTTAGTAATATTAGGGTTTGCAGTTCTCCACCTTTTATATCGATTTCAATAACAAAAACTGCATACGCTCTAGAACCAACATGAAATTTTTGCATTGATTAGAAAACGACCACTATTTGGAGCCTATCTGAGGCGTTTACTTGTTTCTAGTGGTTTTCATGTAAAAATTTCGGATCTTAAAATCCATTATCTCGATAACCAAAATATATTGACATATAGCGTACAAGAATCGCTATATATCAGAAGCGCACATAGGAAGTGTTGGTGTTATCCTCTACCTCTACCTATCTACATCTTGATAGCGTAACGAATAATGTTCATCAAAATAGTGGTTTTAATAAATGGCATTGCCAAGTAGTCGTGCCTCGGAAATTATTTTATGTTACATATCTTCAGCTTATTTTTAATAAAATTATGTAATAGTTTGACTAACTGAACTCAAGACTTGATTAAACTGCAAAGCACTCAGATGTTTTTTATTATGCCTGTTGTTTCTTTTAGTAATTTCACCACTTATTTTCCTAAAAATCTTATTAGTCTAGCATACATTGAACTTCATGTACCAAGTTAAAATGCCAATTATTTTTAATCCCTACCAGCACTTGAAACAAAATCAGAATACAAAACACCAAACGAACCAATTCAAAGCTTTAACAAAAGTAAGCATCGCGAAAGTATCTTTCAGTGACGACATCGCATGTTTTGGATTAAAAAGTTTTAATCCCTAACAAGCACAACAGTAGCACAAAATAAAAAAAAACAAGTCAGAACCTAAAAAAGACAAATAAAACCGTTTTGTTCCAAACAAAAAAACAAACCCAGCACTAACAATTTCACAGCACAAGTGCTTAAAAAAATCACATGAAAAATGCACAAAAATAAAAAGTATCTTTAGCTTATGATTATGGTATCAATTACAAAACGTTGCATCCTCTTTACGACCCTCACCCACCAGCCCACAACACAACACAACTGACGACTTACTAGAGATACATTCATCAATCCATTGTTGATATCGTAATTAAAACGACTTAATTTGTAATGAACCACACGAACAACGAACAACGCACAAACGAAGAAACCAAAAAAGAAAAAGTATCTCATGAAAATACGCCAATACTCGTAAATGCCACATGATGTGGCATGCAGTCATGTACCTGTAAAGACCAACTCAAATTTCGCAGTGATGCGTAAACATGCCACATCCTGCACGTGTAGCATAATGTCCTGCATGATAGACACAAGACTGCTACAATTGAATCCTCCGAAAGGTGTACAATGACACCGTTGAAAGTATCTAGCAAATGCGTTGTTGCTGTTACGTTGGAACTGCAAGGGTTACTTTCAAAATTGTAGCTTCATCTGCGTATCATTTGGCGTGTAATTATTTAACTTATTATTTTATATATTTTGATGTCCGTGATATCCGTGATTCACCTTAATAAGCTGTGATGGCAAGGTAGAAATCATTATAATAATTTATCTGCTACTCGATCAAACGCTGCTGCCGCCTCTGTCATCACTGACGTCCACTATTTTCACGTTAATCCCTATTATATCAATCACCCCAGTTTTTAAGCGTTAAAGTTTTCCATTCCCAATTGTTACAGTTTTTGGTTGTTGTTTGCACTTCAATATTGATTATGATACTTGATTTTATTACAAAATTACCACCCCATAATATACAAACAAATAAATATCTTTTGTTACCTTAAAACCCTCTACTAATGATCAATTGATGCGACCAACCGACTCGCTAATAACCTCTTGCTGTGCGCATATATGATATCTCCCATTGTTAATATATAAAATATGTTCTACAATAAATATTTATAATATAGTATAGGCGGTAAATTTCAATATGTACAGTGGAACTTTTTAATTAAAATGTCAGTTTTAGCAAGTAAAATCAAGACATTGGTTTATTAAATAAATTAATAAACTAATTTTTTAAAATAATACATAATAATATAAATTTACATAATAAATTAATACATATAATAAATTTATAGAAATAATAATCAAATAATTGATTATTAATTAATTAATAGAATTAATTAACTAAAATATTAAGCAAAAGTATTTTATTAACTAAAAGTTCAGCCTGCTCTAATATTTTTAGTAATTAATACAAATATAATTACTACATATAATAAATTAATACATATAATAAATTTATAGAAATAATAATCAAATAATTGATTATTAATTAAGTAATAGAATTAATTAACTAAAATATTAAGCAAAAGTATTTTATTAATTAAAAGTTCTGACTGCTCTAATATTTTTAATAATTAATACAAATAAAATAAATACATATAATAAATAAATACATATCATACAATTAATATATGTAATAAATTTATAGAAATAATAATCAATTCTTAATTCGTAACTTCTTAATAGCATTAATTAACTAAAATATTAAGAAAAAATAT